CGAACTGCTAGACTGAGAATATGTTTTCCGCGTTCCTTTGGCTATGGGCACTTCTCAGGAGTGAAACGAGTAACGGTATACCTTCTTTTTTTTTTTCATTTGTTGAATCCACTTTTATTTCCAGGTATCAAAAATAAATTGCGCTGTTTCATTTGGATGAAACAGTAAATGAAAAGCTGGATTAACATTTATGACTGAACATCTGTTTCTTTTTACCTCAGTCGCATATTTTTCACCTGAATGTAAAGGTTATCAGTCTGCTGTGTCGCCTAAAATGCACGTTACCATTGCGTCGCAATATTAACAGTCGAGTCCTACTGTGCTCTTGTACTTACAAAAATAATTACAGTGCATACAATCATAAAATGGGCACGTTCTCGCCATGTCTATCATGATATCTAGATTATAAAATACGTTTCACAATATATATGATGACGATACAACTAAGCTAAAAGCAATAATATTTTCAATATGTCAGGAAAGTTTTAGGATAAAACCTTTCAGTCTAACTTTTATAGAACCCTGAGTGGCAAGCACAACGCTTGCTTTCCTGACTAATATTGTTTTCATTCAGCACCATGACGCAGGCGAATAATTATGCAGAAAAGAGTGACCTTCATATTCAGTACGAATCTGGCTTAAAATAGAGCGCATTGAAGTGCATATTTTAGACATAGCTTGGCGTCTGATGTTTGTTCTTGACAGCATGCCGGTCAATTCACTTAGTAAATGAACATCACCCTTGCTAATTGGTGATTTATTGTTAAATAGAACAAAGTAGTATTTCATAGTCTACTCGACATTACAGCTGCTTAATTGGCCACTTTCTTACGATCTGCGTGCGCAATCGTCATAGTTCCGCCACGCGCCACTGTGTGCTTTGTTTTCATCCAGCCCACAGACACATAAAATTGTTGTTCATCAAATAAAAGAAGCAACAGACTTCTATATGTTTGAGAAGTTGAATAGTCGTTAGAAACACATGTTATTTAAATCAGCTTCAAACTGAAAAAAAAAATGCTAAGTTTCTTTTAAGTAACTTATGCAAGTGCCTCTCCAGGATAAAAATGCCGGAAAAGATTTCCAGAGCATATTTAAGATAATGTGTGGGTGCATTAACTTAGGATGCATCTCTTTAGGGTGATCGTCCCTTTATCTATGTTGTCAAGTCTTCAGGTAGTAAATAAATATTTGTTATTGTCACCAATAAATTTGACTGTATGAAGTTCACATAACCGCTTGAGACCGACACGGGAGGACGATACTCGAAAATAGCCATCCATTGAGTCTGCGGAACGCGCTTATTTATAACACCGGGTCGCGGGATATGCCAAAATGAATGTGTGCTTACGTTATAGATTTGAAGGCCAATACACAAAATGGGGAAAAATAGAGATAATAAATGATATTCTTCTAAATAATGCCATTCAAGACGCCAATTACTGCAAAAAGAAATATATATAGGAATGAGTGTTCTAAACGTAAACACGTTTGACGGAACTTCGTCTGGTTGGGTCAAAAAGTTGAGAAATACAGACTTTCACAAACCAAGTCCTAATCATTTAGTGGACTGACGTTTCAATTGGTCGAGCTCAATAGGTCGAAAGCCGCTTAACCCTCGGCGTGCGTCAACGGACTAGGGCACTTGAAGAAGAAGTGGGTGAATCAAATGACACACCGCAGATAGAAAAGGAGCTGCTGCTCTCCACGTGCAAATAGTCGTGCACTTGTTTTGGTGCCTAATTTTACAACTCCTTGCTTTATCAGTCATGCGCGCTCTAACATTCTATTAGGCTGCAGAACATCATCGCGAGACTGCTATATATAGTGCTCAACTTTACAATTTGGACATCCCCTTTTGCTATATTTTGCTTCAGCTTAAAGGGGCACTGCAAAGGAATGAAGAAAACCCAATGCTGCTTGGAACGGCGTGCCTATCAGTGTGAAACACGAACGTTCAGTGCCGACATTGGTCTAGAACGTCGGATAATGATGACATAGAATTCTAGAGGTAGGACTGGCTGAATAGGCGCAAGGACCCCTTCTGATCCTTTCAAGCACGGGACTCTCTCTCAAATATTTGCTTGTAACACTCGTAAATTGCTAGGGCGTTCACATCCTCATAACTGGATGTTAATTTCCAACAGTTAGGAAGATTGCGTATGGTTGTTGCACGCTCTTGTCGTTTCGGTTCTCTACTGGTTCAGACCAAGGACGTCATAAACAAAACAAAAAAAAATTGCTCGAAATTCTGAATCTTTTTAACCTAAAAATTATGTTCAAAATACGCTATATTTACTGTTTATTTTATGTTTAGTTTGTTGCTAGGGTCCCAGTCACTAATTCAAACAAAAACAATGCAAATTAAAAAAAAAAATGGACAGAACGCTTTGCATGGCCTCTTCAAGTATACAGATGTAGCCTATGCTACAAGCGCGAGCCTTTGGTCCTGAGCACTCGCACTGCAGGAACGCGCGTGCGCTTTTTTAGCTTCTGGAATACTTACACATAAAGTGGAAGGGAGTATTGTGTTGAGAACATCACATTTCAACAGAAAACCGGACTGTTTAACATGGTTCGCATTTTGCTGAGAAAATCAAATTCCGAGGTGCAAAATGCACGCTGCAAGAGGTTCGCGCTAAGCGCAAACCATGTATTCAGAAATTTCTTTTGCATGGCGCTACGTATTGAGGGATGGCGCGAGCGTCTGGCACCCCGAAAACTCGCTTTCTGGCAGGAGTGATTTCGCAAACGAAGTAGTTTTGCAGGATCATGCTGTCTCCTCTGCGCCGAAGACGTGGAGCAGAGGAACATTCACAACACATTAGGTTTTTAACCCCCCCCCACCTTTTTTTTTTTTTTTTTCATTTGGCGGTGCTCCTCTACAGAATACTTTTTAGTTTTGAGAGACTCCCTCCTTTGTTTGGGGGTGCCAATTCGACAATTATATTTCTGTCATTTGTTTTCAGTAATTCTCCATTTCTTTTATTTTGCACCCAAAAACTGTGAACTTTAAACAAGCCTTCGAGATTTTGAGCGACTGCCGACGTTCGGCTGTCCCTCAAAAGCCACTGGAATCTTTTTCTTTTTTTTTTCAGGTACCTCTGCCGTACACACTTGTAGTTCTATTTATCGTCAGATAAATAAGTCATATTTAGTCGTTTCAATCCTTTTATTCTCGGATCAATTTTCTGAGACTGTTCACCAACAACGAAAACATGTCTGAGTGCCGCAATGGTGTGTACGAGGCTATGATGAAACAATTTTTGTACTTTCAGTAAATGCCGCTAAGAGGTAATCTCCGACGTTAATATCTTGCAGAAACACCCATCAGTTTCCTTCTCTGCTCAATGGCAGGCGCAGGAAAAATAAAGGAAAGAACAGCTTTCCCTTTCTCAACTCGCGGTTGGAACAAGCGGCGATGTGATCTGAAGCTAATTGTATACCGCCAGTGTTCATCATTGTCATGCGCTGGGGTTGGCGAAGAATAAAGCATGGGTTGAGCTTTAGGCATTATTAGAGTTCGGCTATTCTTATCTTTGATTGAACACGAGTCAACACGAATGTTTGGCGATGCTGATTGTCAAAAACCCGAGCACTCGGCTCGGGCTCATGACAACCGAGTACGTCACGGTGTCGCATTACTCCCAGTGAGAAGTCGTGATGGCATGTGACCGGCTACCGTTATATTTTTTTCGAATTCAGTTCCAAGATGGCGGTGAAGACATCGGTTCGGTTCAGTTCCGTTTCGGCTAAAAATAACGGTTTTGTTTCGGTTCGGTTCGGTTCCGGTTGGACCCTCACTCTGGTTTGCACTACAAACTCCTTGGTGGTATCGGGTGCTTGCAGCACCGGCCTAGCGGAGAGAGCGACTTTTAACATATTAAAGCCCTTTCTTTTTAGTCTGTCCAATGTACCTTGTTGGGCTCTCTTTTCTTTGTCATTTCCGTTAGGGGTTGGGCGATCTGAGCATATCCTGGTACGAACTGCTTGTAATAATTTGCCAGGCCCAAGAATGATCGGACCCGCTCCTTCGTTTGTGGCTTTTGCGCCTTTATGACCTGCTCTAGTGTACGCAGCAAAGGTCGAATCTTTCCTTCCTCTAGGTCGTGGCCCGAAAACGTGATCTTTTTCATGCCGATCTTGCACTTGCTGGGCTTGATTGTTAAGCCTGCCTGACGAACTCGCTCCAGCAAACAATGCAACGTCGTCAGGTGCTCTGACCAAGTATCGGTGGCAACGAGAACATCGTCGATATAGTGTTGCACATGTGGGATCCCGTTCAAGAGTGCTCTCATTAGTCTTGTGAAGACTGCTGAAGCGGTCTTTAATCCAAAAGGCAAGTATTTGAACTGGTACAAGCCCGAGGCTGCTGAAAACGCCGTAACTGGCTTGGATTCTTCCGTCAACGGTATTTGCCAGTAGCCTTTAACTAGGCCAAACTTGGAGAAGCATCTCTTCTTCCCCACTTCGGCAAACACATCATCTGTGCGGGGCATGAGTTCTGCTTCCCCTACCAAGATGTTGTTGATGCGACGAAAGTCGACGCATATGCGGAAGGTGTTGTCTGGCTTCCGCACTAGAATGAGTGGAGACCTGTATCGGGATTTTGATTTTTCAATGATTTCTCCCCGCAACGTCTCCTGCACTTCCTTTTCGATCGTATCCCTCATGGCTAGGGGCACGGGATGCTGCGGTGTTTGGAGCGGCACTTCACCTGCGAGTTTAAGTTGGCAAACAAGGATGTTTGTCTTCCAGGGCAGGTCTGAAAATACATCATCGTACCCGTTTAAAAGGGCCCTTAGCTCATCTTTTTCTTCTTCTGAGAGGTCTCGGCTAAGCATTACATCCTTGGCTCCTTGTGTCTTTTGAAGCGACGGGGCTGATAGTAAGCCGTCCTTCTCGTCTTCTACGGCGAAAATGGCCGATGTCTGGGGTTGAGGCTGTCCTTGCTTTCCCCGCTCTTCGTACCTCTTGAGTAGGTTGATATGGAAGAGCTTTTACGGGTGTCCCAACTCGATGAGGTAGTCGTAACCTTCCTTAGTGCCAACAACGGGAAATGGACCTTTCCAAGCCATGAGCAGCTTGTTTTGGGTGGTCGGCAGCAAAAGCAGTGCTCGGTCACCAACTCTCAGTTGACGGTTTTGGGACTCTTCGTCAAAATATTTCTTTTGGACCTGTTGCGCCTCAGCAAGATTCTTGTGGGCCAGCTCCATCGTCTCTTAAAGGCGATCTCTTAGGTCCAACACATACCCGTATGTAGTCTTCACCTCTTCTGTGAGAGTGTCGTTTGTCCACAGCTCCTTCAGGATGGTCATAGGGCCTCGAATGTGCCTTCCGTATATCAACGTAAAAAGAGAAAAATCCAGACTACGCTGCGGAACCTCTCTGTAGGTGAACAAGAGGGGAGTAATATAGCGATCCCTCTGTCGTGGCTTCTCTTGGCACATCTTTCGAAACATTGTCTTCAACGTCCCGTTAAACTTCTCTACCATTCCATTGCACATGGGATGATACGGCGCGTTGGTTAGCTGTTGTATGGACAAGAGGCAGGCTACCTCTTTCACCAAGGCTGAAGTGAACGTTAGAGCCTGGTCGCTAAGTATTTCCCGTGGTACTCCAACGCGCGAGAACAACTGGATCAAACCCTCGGCCACGGTTTCGGAGTTTATCGATGGAAGCGCCACTGCATCGGGATATCTTGTAGCACAGTCGACCAAGGTCAAAATGAAGTGGTTTCCCGTGTCTGATGAGGGCGAGAAAGGTCCGATCAGGTCGATTGCGAAGCGCTCGAATGGTGTTTCGATTATAGGCATCTTCCCAAGCGGAGCCTTTGCTATCTTGGGGTCACTCTCTGGCACCTGTAACAAGAATGCACAAATCGCTTGATTTGTGCTTGCACTCGTGGCCAAAAGAAAGTTTCCAGGACGCGATATGTCGTCTTCTTGATACCCTGGTGGCCTGCCATTGTTCCTTCGTGAGCCACGTTCAGGATGTAGGGTCGCAGGTCTTGCGGTACCACCACCTGGTTGAACGATTTTTGCGATGTAAGGACATACCGGCGAAATAAAACCCCTTTTGATAGGTAAAACTCCGATGTATGGCCCCCATTCGAAGTCTGCCTCTGCCCGACTTTGTTAAAGCATACTGCCAAAGTAGGCTCGAGTTTCTGACACTGACTCAGATTGTCTCTCGAAACCTCCCTTCCCGCCGGTGTTATGCTAGGCACACCTTTCTCCTTGCTGGTGGCCACTAGATCGGTTGGAACATTATTTTCTTCGAGCTGCGTGCACCCAGTCTCAGTCTGCCAAGTAAAATCTGGTTTTCGTGGTAGTAAGCATCCTGGTATATTTCCAAGTACTACATCGTACAGTGGATTGTTCATTACCTGACATGATCCGTCGACAAGGTATATTGGCCCTTCTGTGCCAGTGAACGCTTCAGATGGCACCAATTGCCATCTGGATACCACAGTATTGCTACCCGTGTCCCTGAGGACTATAACTGATTCTCCGTTCAACGGGCCTTCAGAGATTGGCATATCAGCCTTAACCATGCCGACAACTTCCAGACGGTCTTGAACGATATTGACCATTCGCGATTGGACTTCTGGGTGTTCGAGCACCCTTGCGTACGCTGCTCCGCCTTAGTGCCAGTAGTGGGCTGTGGTGCAAGGATATACAACGCTTGCGGGTTCGGCTGGTTTTTCTGAGGACAGGTTTTTGCCTGGTGCCCCTCCTTTTTACATATCCAGCAAAATTTGTGGTTACCCATCCTGGATCGACATTCCGTTGACTTGTGTCCCGTTTTGTTACACACCAAGCAACGTGGCTTCTCCACAGCGGAGGTTTTGTCCTTTTTTTTTTGCCCAAGCTCTCCAGATGCGATGGTTTCTTTTCCCATCCAGTTGAGGTTTGATAGATTCTGGGCATCGAGATAGTTGTCCGAGTTCTTAGCTGGTTCAACTAAACTTGTGCAGTTCCGCTCCTTAAGAAAGACCGCCAATTTAGGGTGACAGTTACAAAGAAACTGTTCAGAGACAACCCGGTCCCGCACGGCCTCGTACGTTTTGAGAGTTTCTTTCATCGCAATCCACCGATCAAAATACCCCTCTAGACGGGCTGCAAACTGGCCTCCGATCTCTCTATTTTGTGGTTTGCAGGAGCGAAACTTTTCTCTGTAGCCCTCGGCTGTAAACCGGAACCGCTGAAGTAGGTAACGCTATGTGGACTCGTAATCTAGCGACTCCACTGGAGAAAGTCGTCCGAAAACGCGGATTGCTTCCCCTACGAGGCACATGCTGAGGGCTGTAGCCCACTTTTCCTGTGGCCAACGCTGTCCGATGGCTATGCGCTCGAACCTATGTAGGTAAACATCTAGATCGTCCCGTTTTTCATCGAAAACTGGGATGACCTTGTGGGAACTAATAGCGGCTGCAGTTACTGGTGAGGTGCCTCTTTCGCCTGACGATCCTACGTTAACTACTTCCGCATTGCTTTGTTGCCTTTCCAGGAGCTGCAACTTTAGTTGGGTTTGCTGTTCAAGCGCTAAGCGCTCGGGTTCGCATTGAGCCAGCGCGCGCTCCGCGTCAAGCCGCTCTTTCGTTGCTTCCCTCTCCGCTAGCTTTTCGTTGCGTTCACGCTCCCGCTCTGCGTCAACCCACTTGCATAGATCATCTCCGCTCAGACCGAGTACCTCGCCCATCGACAGTAATTCTCTCGTATTCATTTTTTCTTTAGGTTACACAAAAGCAGAACATGACTTGCCTCGTCCTGTCGCGGACGCCAATGTGAGGAGGTTCGTTATTTGAGGTCAAGCTCTCTTTCAATACATTAAATTATTGAAGAGGCAAGTACTGTTTTTGTGTGTGCTTTAGTAGTTCCGTTGAAAAACAATAGCAAAACAAATTTAAAGAAAGACATGAAGTACGTTGCGGGATACACAATTTCCTTTCGGTAGTCATAAAACAACTAGTTGATGATCCACTGAATAATAAATGCGAGTCTCAAGTAAAAAAGGTTTGTGGAGGTCCGAGTGAAACATTTCACTTCGCCTGACAAGGACGGTGGTGACGTTGTGGCAACGATGTGGTGACGTGGCGTTGTGGCAACGAAGTGGGGATGTGGCATTTTGGCAACGATGTGGTGACGTGGCGTTGTGGCAAAGATGTGGTGAGGTCTTCCATGGTCGGTGCAGCCGCCGCTGGGAGTCGTCCGGGACAACGGAACATCGTCTTCACGATACGGCCCGGTTGTCCCTCGCAGTTACGCCCGGTCGTTTCTGTTTGCGTCGACGGCTCCCAGGAAGACAACCCCCAGTCCGCTTTTGTCCTCGTTATTCCAGCCACCACTTCTTCTTTCTCTTTCCCTGTTGTCTCGTGCTTCTTTTCTTTCGGAATCCCGTCGTCTTTTTCTTTCTTGCACCTCGTTGAAATGTCCGATCACAGTTCACCACACACGTCTTTCTACGATATTGAGGCTTAAATATAGAACATACGAACAAAATAACACTTTCTCGACATCCTCTTTGAGCACACAACTATTCTAACAAAAAATAAAAAATATATTAAAAAATGTTTTCTTTTAGGGAATCGATGTCAAAATCGGAACTTTTTGGTTTTAGCATAACATTAACGTAAACGTACCGCAAAGGGAAATTCATACAACTGAGTGATTTTATAATATCTGTAAAAAGCGTATTTTGGGCTTTCCATAGACATAAAAATATCGACGTTACCTAAGCAGATCGCCAGTATTTAATTGTCAAAGTGCATCAACAATTAAAAAATGAAGCGATTTGGACATTTTTACAAAAAAAAAGAAAACGTTAAAACTATATTATGGCATCAGAGCCTTTTAACTGTACTTACAAGATGCATGAAAAAAGGTAATATATAGGGTGGTTCAAGTCACCAGGCTCGATGTAAAATGGGCGGTAAAAATCGATGCCTGCACGTAGCAATCTAAACTTTTCGTTAAAAGTGTAATTCACAGGTCGGTTTTTTCATGTAAAATTTCAAAGCGTAGCTCTCTTTCTGTAAAAAATACGACCAATAAACTTGTCAGGGTCTACGGGGGGCAGCACCGCAGACGACAGGAGTCCAGTAGCAGGGTGTGTTTGGCGTTCGTATTGATAGATGGCGCTACCTCCTTATCGCGACGGCTCGCGACCATCGCGGTTTATTAAAATGAATATAATCTTTTTAAAATGTACATTTGGTTAAAAAATAAACGCAAAAAATAAAAGCTAAACCTAAAGTAAAAAAACGCGTCTGCATAACGGCGGCGCTTTTGCTGCCAACGGGTTTCGTCTGCGTGTCGTCTGCTATCTTTCGCTGGTCGGCTGCACCTTCAGGCGCTGCTCCCGACGCCATCTATCAATACGAACGCCAAACACACCCCGCTACTGGACTTGGTCGTCTGGGTCGCCGTCCGCCGTAGACCCTGGCAAGTTTCTTGGTCCTATTTTAAACAGAAAGAGAGCTATGCTCTGTAGTTTTACAAGAAAAAAACCGACCTGTGAAATACACCTTTGACGAAAAGTTTAGATTGCTAGGTGCAGGCGTCGATTTTTACGGTCCATTTTAGATCGAGCCTGGTGACTTGAACCACCCTATAATGTGGACTGAAAATCCACGGCGGGAGATCGAGCGAAACATGGGACCTACGACGGATGTGAAAAGCACGCCTATGTGCTGCGCGCTCTTAAAATTCGTAAGTCGAGAACGAAAAATCCGATGAACTTCCGGTTTGTGGCTACTGCGTTTTGGAGACGGCGCCATAGATATATTGTTTTCAGCGAAATTAAAAATTAGTCCTTTTTTGCCTGCACGATTTGAGATGAAATCACCCATATATATATATATTATACATATATACGTAAAGTATACAGTTTTTTTAAACCTTTCAAATTTTGTTTAAAAAAGCTGTGATCGTTACGCAAACGCGGTTTGTGGCGGTGAGGTATACGACTAGGGGGACATTACTGGGATGGTTAATCTTTGTGATAAGTCGGGTAATTAATAAAACTTGTTAATTACCTTTTTGAATAGTGCAAGTAGGGATATGGTTCCAATTAGAAACTTATTGAGCGTCATCGAAAACCACTAAATCAACCCCCTGGCCTTCACACTCACCTGCACAAACCGCAAAGGTGTAGCTTTCATGCCTTTTTTTATACAAAGCTGTAAATCTTTAAAAAGTACCCTATGTATATATATATATATATCTATACTGTATATACATGTATCCTTAGCCTTGCGCTTTTCAATATTTTGGTTGTAGGTCTAAATTATGATTATAGATTTCGGGAGGCAGTTGTTGTCGTATCTAATTTTGTGTTCCGTAAAAGTTTTGAATATGTTTTTTTTATTCATAATACTGGTGTAAATTGACGCACTTGGAAACAATTAGTTTATTAGGATAGAAACTACTAATGCATAATATAACACTACACTCACGATTGGACAGTATTACGTGACAAATGTGTGGGTATAGTATTTTAGAAGTACATAATGTATTTATATTTCTGTATCGCGATATGATTTTTCAACTTTATTTTGTATTTCTGTATCGAAAAACATTTTCCCGTGTATTTTTGGTATCGCGATAATATTAGGGCCGATTATCTTGTTGCAATTTTAAAATAATTGCTGACTTCCACAAGAGGGTCAAGACAATGTTTTTTTTTTTTTTTTTGGGGGGGGGGGGGGGGGACGTTTTTTGTCTCTGACCGTACATGACTGCCTTCTGGATTATGGAAAACTTACCAAGTATTTTCTTACTCTTTAGGTCGTTCACTATTCAAGTCTATTCCAAAAGTTAAAGGGTCTGTCGGCGTGCCAAATTAACGAATAAAAGGA